CGTATACAGCTCGGGCCTTTTCTTCTCCCCTCTCTGAGCGGTGCCAAGCCTGTGGCCCAGTGTGGTTCAGCCTTTTAACCGGACTCCTCCGGCTGGTGTTTAACAATTTCAGAAGCTGAATGATGTTTTTGATTACATTTTCTTTTAATTCTTTGTTTTAAGTGTGAACAGGGTTTACTGTGGGGAATAGTTAGGGATGTTTTAAAGGTAAACTCCACTGATTTTACACATCAAAGTGTGTTTACAGGTCTTGTGAAGTACTACTACATATGTGAAAATAGTTGTATTTTGTACATATTGTATATTGTATATATGTACTCTTGTGGCTCCAGAGGGAGCTGTGTAAAATCTGATATGTTGCCTTGAGTGATGTCACTTCCTGCTCCAGGTTTGAAAATGAAGACATCTGTGGGTGTGCAGTTAGAATTAAGTGAGTGTACCAGACGTCTGTAGTGCTCTCCTCATCTCAACTGGTTAGCGGGTCAAGGCTACGTTAGCTGCTACTACCATCAGAATCTCCAATGGAACTGTTGGCGGTTCAGTTGCATTGTGGGTAACGTAGGCATCAGGATTTGACAAGGAAGAAGAATGTATGGAATAAAAATATGAGATCTCTGGTTCTGTCAATTCAGAGTCTGACTGTATTAAAGTGTTTTCCAGTACTAATCCAGTATATATTTTAATAGTAATAGTATCAAGTTTCTTTCACTGTCTGGGAAAAATCATTTACAATCAGTTTCAATTTACAACTGAATGACTTGTAGTGAAATTAAATCTCTCTTTGCTTCATTTCATTCCACTTATTTAAAATGTATTGAACTGCTGCTCTTTGATATTCGAGAAATCTACCGGTGCGTAACTACCAGCATATTTTTAAGTAGTGCTGAAATGATTTGTCCATTAATTGATTCGTTTATTAACAAAAAAAGGAGTCGCCAACAATTTTGACAAGCAGTCATTTAAGTAATTTATAAATAGGGCAGTCTATTGTTGAGAATCTGCTGATACGATAAGGATAAAACACAAAAATATCAGGATTACATATTTAGACATTTCTTACACACCTATTTATAAAGCATGATTGGATAATGATGTTGATTGGATTTGCTGCTTTCGTTTAAAAATTTAATTAAAATTCCTTTGGAAGTTGGACTGTTGGGTGGAGAAAACAAGCAATTTGAAGATGCTAACTTGGGCTCTTGGGAGTTGTATTTTGTAGTATTTTTCGACATTTTAGAGACTAAACAATTAATCCATTAATTGAAAACGTGGTCAGTATATGTTTACTGTGAGGTGCCCCCTGCAGGAGATGTTGCATTTGCTTTAACCTGCTGCACAATGAAGCCTTTACAATGTAAATGCAACATATAACTTCCTTCCGTTTCACTGGGTTTTCCTTTTTTTTTCTTTTCTTTTTTTTCTGTCTTCTCCACTCAGCTATGCATTTCCAGGAGTGGTTACGGTCACTTCGCTCCAGCGCTACACTCAAAGGGTCTGAATCAGAGGACTTCTGGAGTCTTCTGCCATCTCTGCCTCTGTCCTCCTTCTCCCTGTCCTCGTTGACTCTGTCCCCCTCCTCTCTGCTGGGTTTAGGAGCCCTTGCCTCTCTCACTGCGTACTGGCTGGTGACCCGTCCTCGACCCATGCGTCCTCCCTGTGATCTACAGGCCCAGTCTGTGGCAGTGAACGTGAGTGGATCCTGATTGCTGTTGGTATCATTATGCGTAGACTTGTGTAAATGGCACATGTCGCGATCATAGCAGTTGATTGAGTTGTTTAATTGGACAATCGTGTTTGTTGTAGGGAGATCCCAGCTGCAGGCGATCTGCTCTGCTTAAAGATGACTCACTGCTGGAGTTTTACTACGATGACACCAAGACGGCGTATGACATGTTCCAGAGAGGCCTGAGGATTGCAGGTGGAGTAAAGCACATACACAACACACTTGGTCCTCTCATAGTGTCTTTCTTCAGTTTAAAGATTGCATTGGTTTCTGTTGGTAGAGACAAACATTTATGCTCTTTTAGTCTCACAAAATCCGACCAAACCCCATTGCATTAATACAAAAACACAACAATCAAGTTGCTAAAGGGAAAGCTGTTTTATGCAATGGAGGAGGGAAAATTGACAAAATGAAAAATCTCAACAATCAAAAGTATTTTATTGATCTATCATCAAAGTAAAACTCATTTGTTAAACATTCAAATGTATTTATTTTTATTATAATGACACTCTGTGTACATAAAGTCTGATCAAATATGTTTATTATAATTTGATGCCATAATGAATTAATATTAGATTTGTATCATTAATTTAGTCAACTGAGGTATTATAGCTGCAATTGCTCATCACAATTTATATTTATATTTATTTTATAATATATATATTTGGAATACGTTCAAGGGCCCCTGTGGATAAAAGCAGTAGCGTTTCTACCACCTCATTTCATTGATTTCTTCTTGCTCATTTGTTTATGTAGATCATATAGAGGCATCAGTATTCAGTTGAGACTGTTTCATAACTGGTTTCTCCTTGCAGTATGTTTAAGTGTTGCTCATCTTTGTTTCTAGCTGTCAGATAAAGTCATTTTATGTCTTGACAGATCAACACAAGTTGTACTAGATTTGGGTCGTAAGCGAAACTTTGATATTCAAGATATTAAGCCTCTAGTTCAAGAAATAAAGCACTATATCACACACACAGCATGCTACTATTTTTTATCCATTTTATTATTTGAGTGTGACACTAGACGGCAACAACAACCAGGATGGCTACATGACGAATCAGAATGCAGTATGCAGGTCCACAAATTCAAAAAGAGAACATTTCAAAACATCCAATTTCCATGACATAGATGTCCTATTATGATGGATACAGTGTTCCCTGTCTTAGTTGTTATTCGTTTTCTATAAATCCTGCTATAAATCTTGCATATGTTTGAACTGACCTGACACAACTGTCTCATGTCCCTCAGGAAATGGCCCATGTCTTGGCTTCAGAAAGCCGGGGCAGCCCTACGAGTGGATCTCCTACACTGAGGTCTGACAAGTTTTATTATTTCATCCTTTAGTTGTAATAGCACTTCTGTGTCGTCCGTTCCTCTTCTGCTGTTTGTTGACTGAGCGTCTCCAACTCTTCAGGTGGCGGAGCGGGCGCAGGTTCTGGGATCTGGGCTGCTGGCCAAGGGCTGCCTGCCGAACCCGCAGCAGTTTGTCGGGATATATGCACAAAACAGACCAGAGGTATGAACTCGTTTTGTAGTGTGACGCTTGTTCCCACACTGGCTGGTTTCCTGTGAGCTGCAGAATTGATTAGATAACTTCTAAGCCTTGGCCTCTAATCAAGACTGTTGATCAAGATGTTCAAACTTGTATTTCACCTGGGTAGAACTTAATATATTCTCATACACACACACCTCCATAGAGGTTCACTCCAACCCTTGGAGCCTAGGATCACATTCTGTGTATGAATTTAGAAAATTAAATATGATTTGTTTTTGTCTGTGCCTACCCTGAAAGTGTGTTTTGTATTTATTCATATTGAGAGCAGAGTGCTGGTGGTGAATATGGGTCTCTAGGGCAGCTAATATTGGAGCATGTCTGCTCCCAGACTCATTTTTTAATATATCCGTAGGGCAAAGCCATTTTTGTCATTCCTGTGTAGACTGAAAGTGAGAGATAATTTTCTGCTCCATCAGAGCTCTCAACCTCCCATCAGACCAATCTACTCTGAGTGGTATTTTTGTTTTATTAAGAATGTAGTTTTGTTTGTTTTGTAAATATGAAATGCACGTTCATGTAGATCATAACTCCTAATGTTGAGATATCTAACTCAACAAATACTCAGTGTGTGAAATCAGTCTAACAGTGCTGCTTTGTCTCCCTCTGCTGGTGACAGTGGATCATCTCTGAGCTGGCCTGCTACACTTACTCCATGGCGTTGGTGCCTCTGTATGAGACACTGGGGCTGGAGGCCATGGTCCACATACTCCACCTGGGTGAGAGAACCTGCATCTAGAAATAACAAACACACTGTTAATGAGATTTTATTATTATTTAAAGGAATAGTTCACCAAACTAAAAATACTGACCTCAAGTTTTAAGCCTTTCTAAACTTCATATTTTAGCCAGGATCTTGAGGCTCTTCAAAAACGCAGACCTCCAAGACTTTTCTCTTTGTCTTCATGTTTTCTTTTTGGTGGCTTAAGAACACTGAGAATGTGTCGCCACATCTCTAATGACATGTAACACAGACGATAGTCACGGCAAAAACAAGAAAGAACTTGTGCAGAAAGCACCAAATACTAGTAATGTGCTTTTGATTTGTTTTACTGACATCACGATGGGTGACAGTGGACATTAATAGTCACATTAGCACTACGCTTAAAAGAACATAGCGATGCAAACCTGGTCCTACTCTGTGATTCCAAATGAGTAACCGGCCACCTGGCCCGATGACCCCAATTTATTTTTCCGGCAAACCCAAAATTGACCCGCATTTGACGCTTGGCAGGTGGTAATTTTGGACCCTGCTGCCAGCCTCCCATATCAAATCACACTTGATTGAAGACCTCAGTGGAGAGCAATGCACAGTCATGCTTCTGCCAGGATATTGTTTTGGAGGCTGACAGGCTGCACACTGCGTGCATATTTACAACTCCAATAAAGAAAATATAAAAGCAAAGAGAATATAGAACATTAGGAGGTATACATTATGTTGGAACCAGCAGTGGAAGAAGTACTCAGACCCTTTTTAGTAAAGCATATTTATAATTGTTTTGTGAAATATTGGGTAATTTCACCTCCTTTTGATCCCGAAGTCTAGAGAGGAAATCACTCTTTGGTAGAACGGCTAACAACTCATAAACTTCTCATACATAGATGAAGCTTTTTTGGTCAGGGTTTAAAAATCAGAAAGGATTTGTTGGTTTTATCTTTAACAATGTATTGTATTTCATAAGTGTATGTTTTAATGTAAATCATGTAAATTAATGGGTTGTCAGCTTACTGTAGTGGAGTAGAAATGGCAATACTTGAGTGAATGTACTTACTTTCCACAGCTGGTTAGATGTTTGGACCCGAAGTCGTGTGAATTCAAATCTGAAATGTTTGGTTTTGATTTTAATTGTATTATATTATGTTAATGATTTTGTGTTACCTGTAGAAAAGACTGGAGCTTCTAACTAAAGCTGAGTAGAAAACTACTGATTTCTCACCTTTGAGTGAACTATTCCTTCTTAATGTCAGAAGTTAACACACTGAACTATTTATAGTATTTAGTACCTTTTTTAGGTTAGTTTTTCATGCTTCATTTGTATATAGCAGATTATTATAATGTGTAAAGATAGTATTCTAACTAAGTTATCTGTGCATCAGTTTTCCTGCATGAGATCAATAAAGTGTGTTGTGCTGGGTTCTTAGCGGAGATCTCTGTGGTGATCTGTGACCGGGAGGAGAAGGCAGCGTCTTTGTTAGAGAACAAGGAGAAAGGCGTGACACCGAAGCTCTCCTGCCTGGTTCTCTTTAACGATTTCAGCGATGCCTTTGTGGAGAGGGCGAAGAATTGCGAGGTGGAGGTTTTGAAACTGGAGCAGCTCATGGTGAGCAGCGTGGAAGCACTCGATCCCTATAATGCAGAATCACTTAAGTTTATCCCCCTTTTAATTTAGTCATCGATGGTGATATGTAAATTGATATGCAGAACCTCCTCTTTGTCCACATCTTAGGACCTGGGAAGGCAGAACCTCAAAGATCCTGTGGTGAGTTTATCGTCGCTCAGCTGCTACATCACCGCATCAAACTGGTCCCAGTAAATAGCTAATCCCCCTCTAAATGCTAGGATGACAGTTTTATAGTTGCTCCTGTCCCATAAGATATCATTAACACTCACTTGTAAACATGGCTTAAATTAAGAGTGGAGGAAGCCTGTTGTCTTATTCTCATGTTTTATTGCTGCCTGCTGTAGCCGCCCCAGCCTCAGGATCTGGCCGTGGTTTGCTTCACCAGTGGAACCACAGGTACCGTCTGATTTCATTCGACTCTGCGTAATTATCCTTCACTCACATCAGTAGAGAAGTGTCCTTCAGTGCCCACTAACAACCTCTCTTTATGGCACCGCTGTAGATTCCTCTGCTGCGCAGGGCACTGCAATAATGTCTTGTTTATTTATCCAGGGAAGCCCAAGGGAGCCATGATCACCCACGGCAACATCGCCTCCAACACTTCCTCTGTCATTAAGATCCTGGAGGTCTGTCTACACTTCCACCTCCTTGTCTAATTGAGAACAGCCTCACAGCTAGCATCACTTCCCATCTGCTTGTGTCTCTGTATCTCAAAACTGTCCCTCTCCCTGCTGTGTCTAATGGTATGATTAATTGGCTGTTTGATTGCCCCTGTCGCTGCGAGGTACTAATTGCCCCTGTATAAAGATTCCGCTATCTAACTGCTGTTGAAAAAGCTATACAGCACGTTTGATTGCCTGTGAGGCTTCGCCGTATGCTGCTGTCTGAACTTTATCTCTCCCCTGTGCTTTGCTCATTTTCTTCCTCGTTTTCTCTCAGGGTTCGTTTGTGATCCAACAAGAGGATGTGTCGATCTCTTACCTGCCACTTGCCCACATGTTTGAGAGGATGATTCAGGTAGTTGATCCTCTTCTCAGACCCTTTTTTTGTGTGTGTGTGTGTTTATGTGTAAACCCTAAATTAAAGTCTGTTTTTGTCACAGGTCTCTATGTTCTGCCATGGGGCCAGAGTAGGCTTCTACCAAGGCGACATTTCTCTTCTTATGGATGACATTAAAACCCTCAAACCTACCTTCTTTCCTGTTGTGCCTCGTTTACTCAATCGCATCTATGACAAGGTCAGTGAATAAATTGGGATCTTGTCATTTAGTAGCACTCGTTGTAGAAGGGCTACAACAATCCTTGGACGGTTATATTCTAAACCTTGTTTCTGTCTTTGTACATAATTGTTGATTTCCTTAAAGATCCTGGGTTCCGTGACCTCTCCGTTGCGACGGGCTTTGCTTCACTATGCTGTGAGGAGAAAGCAGGCCGAGCTCAGCAGCGGGGTTGTACGGAACAACAGTCTTTGGGACAAATTGGTGTTCAACAGGATTCAGGTCAGTTGCTTTAAGCTCCATTTTATTTCCACTTGTGTCATATTTTCCCATTTTGTTGTTCAAAATCAAACATAATATTGGACATGTACTAAATAAATGGAATGCAGCTACAAACATTTGAGTTCCACAAATGTGTTTTTTTATGCGATTATTTATAAATCTTTTAGTGTTGAAAACCACTGTTAGCATGGTTGACCTCCACTGGCAATCCCATCATTCCTTGTGTGTTGCGCATGTCAACCCATAGGTGTGTGGCAGCTCTGCACAATGCAATACATGAGATTTACTCCATTCCCCTATCAAGTTCTAAAGCCCCCAGAGGGTTAATAGAACATTTTTTGAGTTTGTTATCTTATTACATAAAGCCAATTACATGTAATCACTTAATTCCCAAAACTGGTTTTGAAAAAATTCAAAAAATGACATATTTTCTGTTAATCCAGGACTCTACAGTTGTCACTGTTTATATTTTTTGCAGTACTTAATACAGCCATACATGTAGACCAGCAGCCCTGCAAATAGTCAATAAAACTGTATCCAAACTTTACAAGAGAAGCACTATTCCAGCAGTCCATGCCAAAATCACCCAGAGCATATTGGTCCTGTGGGAGTGTATTGGAGAGGCAGGCACATAGACGAGCAAGAACTGAAAGATTTTGGCTCGGTATGTCCAATGCAGATGGGAAAATATGGTCTAGGTTGAAAAATGCTGTTGAAATGGGATTCTGCTTGTACCCACAATATGATTGTATTTGAACTATTTTACACAAACACTGCATCACTTGTGTTTCAGGCCAGTTTAGGAGGTAATCTGCGGTTCGCCCTGACTGCTTCAGCACCCATCTCCCCCACTGTGCTGTCCTTCCTCAGAGCCACTCTGGGCTGTCTGATCTTCGAGGGTTATGGCCAGACAGAGTGCACTGCAGGCTGCACTTTCTCTATGCCGGGAGACTGGAGCGCAGGTAAGACCACATCTGAGTCTTACCTTTCTTCTCTAAATTACTTGTGCTTTCGTGCCCTTGCTGGTTAATCCTGTCCTCAGCAGGTATGTGGATGTGTCTTTGTCAGGTCATGTTGGTGCTCCGTTGCCCTGTGCCATGGTGAAGCTCGTAGACATCCCTGACATGAACTACTACGCCAAGAACGGAGATGGAGAGGTGAGCTAGTCTTAAAATGCGATCATGCTTTACACATTACTGGACAGTCTGGTGTCTTGTGACAATCTCACTGCTTTTTCCTGTTAGATCTGTATTCGAGGCCCCAGTGTGTTCAGAGGCTACCTGAGGGACCCAGAAAGGACATCAGAAGCCTTGGACAGCGACGGCTGGCTGCACAGCGGGGACGTGGGCCAGTGGCTTCCAGTAAGATTAGATAGAATCAGTCTGTAGGTGGCAGATATCATCTTCTAGTCTCCTGTAAGTGAGCAAATGTGTGTTTACCTCTGCCAGAATGGGACACTACGCATCATTGACAGGAAAAAACACATCTTCAAGTTGTCCCAGGGAGAGTACATCGCTCCAGAGAAGATAGAAAACGTCTACATGCGCTGTGTTCCTGTGCTGCAAGTGTTTGTGCACGGAGATAGTTTACAGGTACAACGATTTATTAGATTTAGAACATTTGCTGTGGCTTCAAGTTCAATTTTTTGATTTTTCTCTTCTATTTCATGTTCCCAGTCTTATCTCATAGGCATAGTTGTGCCTGACCCTGAGGTGTTTGTTGACTGGGTTAAAGAGCGAGGATTTGTGGGATCCTATGAAGAGCTGTGCCAGAATCCTGTATGTCATATAAACCCCAATTTCATAACTTTAACTACTTTACATGACTGGACATTTCAAAAACATTGACTGGATTATTGGTCTTCCAACAGGATGTACAGAAGGCAGTATTAGAGGACATGAAAGCTGAGGGGAAGTCAGCAGGCCTGAAGTCCTTTGAACAAGTTAGTCTCTGCTGATATTGGTCTTGGTTAACATTTGCGAGCTCACATTACTGACTTTGGTTGTGATTTCGTGTCTTTACCTCTCTCTCCGTTCAGGTGAAGGACCTTCACTTGCATCCAGAGACGTTCAGTGTCGCCAACGGCCTTCTCACCCCCACACTGAAAAGTAGACGTGCCGACATCCGCAGAGTCTTTCAGGAACAAATATCAAGCATGTACAGCAAGACTGCCATTTAAAGGACTCCACTCACACACAAGGGTTACTGGTTTCCAATAAGGGAAAAAATAGGACAGGGACTTGGGAAAAGGAAATTAAAAAATATCCAGCAGTGCCTTATCTAAAATATGCAACAAGATATATTTTGGAATAGTGGTATTTTGCTTCAAAGAAGTATTAACTCATGTCCACCTCTTGAACGTGTGTGTGTAATGTATTAACTCTTCACATGAAAAATAAGACAGAATGGGACCAAACCATTTTGTGTCCGATCTCACTGTCCTCGTCACTAATACAGAACTGGGATTCACTTGGAGATTTTTAACTGATAAATAAATTATTGTGTAGTTGTAGAGATCAGAACAAAAGTTGTTAGGAAGAAGTCTGCAGACATTAAGTTAGACATTTACACTGTCCTCTTCTTTTTCACATGCAAGAATTTTATAAAGGGACACTGTTATGTGCACTTGGGTCGTTGCTGCTCATAGAATTTGCTTCAATTGTAGGTTTGTATTTTACAGTTTTTGGGCCCTTGTATCGCTATGATTTAAGCTTCTCACAAATTTTTTTTTATCTTAGCTCGATGGTAATGCATTTTCCTAATTGATTCAGAAACATTTCATAAACACGTGAGGACGTAATCCTTCACCTTATGTTTAACCATTAAAACTATTGAGGGTCTCGACCAGCAATGATTTTTTTTTAAAAGAGAAGAAAATGGCTGAGCTGTAAATAATGCTTATATTGAGATTTGTTGACAGGACACTGACTAATTCCAGTAAAGTCCAACTGACCAGAAATAAAGATTAGTAACTGATAATCCTCTTGTGTGATTTCTGTGAATTCTACAACATTTATATTACTGCACTCACCCTGAGAAATATGCTGTGGATATTTAAACAATACAATAGTAAGTGGTTAACAATGCACATTGTATACATGGTTGCTTTTTCCACTGTTCATTTATTGCATGATTAATTATGAATTGAGATGACAACTGAGAAACAGTCATTTAACAGATTGTGGTATTATACATTAAAAAACCTAAATAAAACCAACTCTAATGTTAAAGTATTCACTTAGTGTTAAAAAACAACAACCTACAACTTAATTCTTCATCATTTAGAAAAACACCTTCATTAATACAGTTATTCATGAGTAACTCAAACAGTCTGCGTTGCAGAACACAAAGACAGGCAATCAACTGAAAATGGCTGAAGCAAATTCTTAATTTCAAAATCAAAACATGTCTTTCAAACAATAAATAGTTAACTTCTTGGTGTGACACCTCAAAATCACCCACTGACATGATATCAGAGCGATCAGTGTATGTACATTACTGTGTAGCCCCATTACCTGGGTGTGTTCATCATACTGAGGCAGAACCTGATAAAGGTGGAAACAAAGGAGTGCAATGACAGTATGATTTGGTCCAAAATTTTAAAATTCCACAACCCTGGTGTAGAGTACAGAGAAAAGGACTTTCTCTAGAGTACCAACAATGTGTGAGCTTCTTTGCTAACAAACCACAACAATAGAACAAATGATGGATGGTGTGAATAAAAGTAAAATAGTGTGTCATGGTCAGTATTTTCCACTAGAGGGAGCACCAGCCTTTGTTTTGGACAGAAATTCGACTTCCAACAGCAACATGTTCTCGCCGGAGCCTGAGAGGTCGACCTTTCAACACAGCTGCAAAGGCACAATCTCACTTCACACAAGTTAGTTTTCATGTTACATCCACAGTCAGGACAATGTAGGCACATTATGTACAGGCGATGTTACCAATATCATCCTGTAAACCCCAATAAAAAGCCCTCATACGACATGGCACAGAGCTAAACGTACATATAACCAGCATAGGCCAAAATACAGAAATACATTTTCATGCTGCTAACCTGCAGTACGTTAAATAACATTCAGTCTGTGGTGTTTGATATTTCAAAGTTGGGTAATAAAAACTATATTTCACAGATTGTTGGTAACACAGCAGATGTGACTAATAAAAACATTTCCTCACTCATTTCCTACTTTAGAAACAAATGCTTATAGACAATCTTTGAAACCAAGAAGTGTAACCCTGTTAATTGGTTCTGACGAAAACGGTTTGATTCCTTTACTAAAAAAACAACAACATATTGGCTTATAATGTTGCACTTGGCTCATGGCTTAGTTAATGTGGCATTTCAGCTGCTTTGGGTTGCAGAGAGTCTGAGAATGAGACATGGGAGTGTAGTGCAAGAGGAATGGGGGGTTGATGGGGCCGCAAGGAAACAAGCTGATAATCAGGTTAAGGCCATTGCTGTCCTGAAAAGAGTGCAATCCATTCAGAGACGCATGAAAGGAGACCTTCCCGGTTTTCGGCTTTCCTCCCTCAGTCATCGGCGACAATGGACAGAGCACGCAACTCGTTGAGCTTGGCCTCGGTCTCCCTCTTCCTCTGCTCATCAGTCAACCCTGCCTGGTCAATCTGATCTGTTAACTCGCTGAAGATCTTGTGCATTTCGGTGAAATAGACCACCTGGGGAGGGGGGGGCAGGAAAGAAAAATAAAAATTAGTCTGTGATGGCAGAAAAAAATAGTCCTGTCTGTCCTCTGATAAAGACAGGACAGGGTCAGTCCACAGACCTTTCATGGATGCCTTGCAGGAAAAACTCCAGAATCACATCCAAACTCTGCTCCACTCGCACAATCTAACCTTACTTTTACTTACACTAGTCCGAAGCTGCTGGTCTCATACCTCTTCAACCCCGCTAATGAGAAGTGATTCGAGAGGAGAAGAGGGAGCCCACAGATATCAAACAACTCCGACAAAGCCCCAAAAACCCAGCGCTTCAGTGGGTAGTGACCCTGCTTTTCTCTCCCAATCTGAACAAGAGATAGAGAGTGTTCACTGAAAGCTTTCTTGACACTTCCCACCCCTGCTTCTTCCCCTTAGTTCATGAGTCAGGCTCCCTAGAGAGTTCCTTTGATGATTAATAGACTTTAATCACATTACAAGACTCCAGAAGAGTAGGCACAGAATGAAAGTACTGGGAAATACAACCCCTTGAAAACCCACACACACACACACACACCACAATATTTATTCATGTAGCAATGCATACGATACCATGCTCTTAAGGGGGCATCGTTGGTTTCTCGGAAATGCACGTGTGTCCTATTGTAGGCCGAAACAGCAAGACCAACCAAGATACCAGTGGGAGAAATTTGCTCATTTGCTGAGGGCCAGGACATAATAGGTCAAATTTGAAATTAACTAAGAATCATACATCTTATATAGAAATAATGTTTGTCTCCCTATGTCAAGAGCAGATTTGACGCTGTCAGCCAAAAGGAAAAAAGTCAAGTTTCTAAACCACATTGTACAAGCCTTTTTAAGTGCTGAGTCTGAAAGACCTTTTTATGTTTATACCAATATTTGCCACCTAAACCACATGAGTGGGCCATAAGTATCGGGTTACTGCTGTTTGTGGGGGTAAAGCGGATATTTTTTTCCCCCAAAAGTGGCTTGTTGAAAGGGCCATCGGAAATGTCCATATGACCAGTGATGATAATGTACACCAGACCAGTGTCTGGGTGCCCTCCGTAGCAAAGACACTCTACTATTACAATTAGACGAGTCACCACGAGGAGTAAACGCAGCCTCACACAACTGTGACCACCTACGATACAAAAAGGAGCCTTTGGGTAAAGCAGAGCTTTAATTTACATGACTTCTGTCTGGGCATTTTAACATACCATAGTCCCAGCTGCTTAATATTTATACAGAGAGGTTACACTTTGACCTCTAAGCCTACAAAAATAATGAATAATTTAGGTTGCATTCTTAACAATGCGTGACCACTGTTTCAGGAAACAAAGAAAATCAACTGAAAAAAGGACAAAGAAAGTCATCTTTTTAGTGTGTTTTTTCCACAATGAACATATGCAGCAGAGAATGCCAAACTGAAAGAAACAAATCAAGACAATGTCTCAATTCATCAACATCCGTACAGGTGGACAGGTCAGGCCAAGTGTCCCACTGACAGTCGCTGGACAGGACTCATGGTAGTGAAGCTGAAGGCTCACAACAAAGGCTGCCTTTGTGCCTTTTCCTGCTGCCGCTGGGAGCTGAGCAGCGGCTGGGAGAGAAGGGAGTGGAGGATGAAACCAAACACATGCAGCAAGGCTGGGGATGAGGTCCACTGGTCCTCTGGCCACCCACGTGTGGCTGTGTGTGTGTAAACATGTGTAAATGCTCATTCATGTGCGTGAGCTATGTGAACAAAGATAATGTAGACAGAATAAAATAGCATTAGTGTGACTAATAAGAGGTCTTGCACCATGTGAAGCCAGGTAGAAAGGTAAAAACGGGATTTAACCTTACGATAGAAAAGACCTGAGCTCAGATTGGTGGAAATATTTAATGTTGGTTATATTTGAGTGCTCTGTTGGCTAATTTTAACTTCAAAGAACATCATACAACTCCATAATTGTCATTAGGTCTAGGATAATCCAGTTTACTAATTAGGAGTGTGCCAGTGACTGTCCCAAAGAGGAAATGACATGGCAGGTCTGGGGTGGGGGAGGGGGACATGGTGGCGCTAACTTGAGACGCCCAGCTGCTTTAAGAGAAGCTTCAGGTTAGAGGATGACTTGCAGGGCTGCAGTGGAGCCAGACAGATGAGGCCTTCCTGGGCTAAACACAGTAGTGTGGGCCGTCACTGGGGGTTAATCGCATTAGGACTGCGTGGAGGGAGACAGACTGCCAGGATTATACACTCCCTTCCATCAGACACTTCATCCACTGTTTAAACAATGCTCAGAGGGCGTAACAGCACATTGTGGGGTGGGTGTGTGCGTGCGTGAATGCGTGAGCGCCTCATTGTGTGTGCATGTCGGGAGGGGGGGGGCTAACCTGCGCCCTGATGAGAGCCTCAAAGCTGGGCTGGAAGTAGTCGATGCGGCTGTGGTAGAACTTGGGCATCTCATCCAGCAGCTGCTTATTCTTGGCCTCAAAGTCATCCTTGACCGGTCGGAGCTCCTCTCTGGCCTGGGGTGTGGAGGGGAGACAGGAAACAAAGGAACGGGTCACCAGCAGCCACTATCAGCTCAAACTTTATATAACATCCTCTCATTTCACCACATCAGCTCATAATTGACAAATAATTCGACAAATTCTTCCATAAAAAACAGCGCAAAGAGTCACAGATTATGAAAAAAAAAACAAATACCTGCAAAGAGAAACAAGTTAGTTTTAAGTATTTCAGCACTGAAGACATCTTTAGTGTCCTTTTTCTTATTGTTCAGATATTTGCCTAATTCCCACGGAGAAGCAGTGCAAAAAAAAGGCTGTAATCACGACCACAGTGAGGAGGAGTGGGTAATGTGGGCAGACTTGGCTGTGAGTGGACTCCAGCACCACTGATCTGTGTGTGAATGTATTAGTGGGTAGTCTACTGTAGGCATGGAGTTATGGAATGCACAATGAATATGTGTGAGAGGGTGAGAATTTTTATTAAGCAGAAGGGGAGGGGAGGAGGGAGGGTTGCTATATTCAAACTACAACATATTGTTTATCTGCTGCATTATGGCATGATCATTAGTTAGTTTTCTTTACACATGCCAGCTGAAATGGCATACGAGTGTTTTGTCAAGATCATTTCTTTAAGTGCACAGGGACTCAAAGGGCAGGGATGTAGGGGCCTCTTCAAGGCTTTGTTCCCCTGACAGTGCTTTTCTCAATGTGTGTGGGTGGCTCGCCATGTGAGGATGTGTTAGAGGCAATAGCATAGGCAACACTGCAGCGCTATCTGTGAATGTGTGCGCTTCTGTAGTGGCCTCATGGTGTGTATGTGTGTGTGTCTACAATTCTCAATTACGTGCCTGTAGATGTGCAGCAGTGCCTTTTTGAAAAGGCACTACTTGAGAGCCTGGTAGCTTGCGTGGGTGAAGGAGCGCACATGTACAGTATGCATGTGCTCAACTATTTTTGTTCATATCCAGTCAGCATTTGTGTCTTTCTCCACTTATTGCGCTCTATTCACAATACGTGCAGCATGTAAGAGCAAGTGAACTCTGCTCCTCTGCAGATAGAGGGAGCATTGGAGTGGACCAACACGTGCACCGATGCAAGCTTTAAACTCACAGTACCTGATGTAGTTTGACCATAACGGGCCCCGTTTTTTCTTTCTCTTCATACTTTTCCACTTTGGATTGCAACCGTTTGTAGTCCTGCAGCGCCTGTTCCCGGCGTTTCACTGCCATGTTGAGGCTGGGGAAGACGCCACTGTACCTGCAACGAACCAGCACACAGACAACCTTAGACATCTCCGACACAACCAATCGCGCACTAAACAAACCACACACACATAAGCATGCACAAACAAAAACCCAGACGCTGGAGTAGTCAAATGGCAAAAAAAAAATAAAAAATAAAATAAGTAAATAAAATAAAAATCACAGAATTTTCTGGGAGAAACGTTACCGAAATTAAAACAGCCTTCCTTGCTCTATGAAATTTGTGGAAATGCATTTTGTATTGCAGCCTATCTTAATAAAAGTCATTATGAATTAATAAAATCCCTCTCCTCAACATCTTATTGTCGAGGTACTCTCAAACCCCAGAGGACAGCTCTGCATTAAGCTTCCTCTAATCTATTATCTAATTACTGTAGTTCAAAATGGCATGAAACAATTCATTTTGTGACAATTATCATATTCCAAATGAAAATATATTCTTGCAACGAGAATCCTAGTCTTCTGCACTAAAAATAGGAAAACACTCATCTGTAACTTAGCAACAGGAGTCTGAGCTTCATCCTGGGACTTGTTGCACTGGTTTTGTGGCTGCTTTTAATGGGAAGCAGGAATACTGTATACAGGAAATATTTAACCCAACAATATTTAATACAAAAAGAAATGTTAAGTTAGCATACCTGAATGATAAATAACAAAAAGTATCTTCTAACGTATGCACCATAAGATACAGCTAAAGACTGAGCATTATTTCTTTAAATTGAGGTAGCTATGCTCCATTTTCATTAGTTTTAAACGACAAAGGACACACAACAAACGAGAAGGGGAAATTAGACAGCAGCATAAGTTCTTATTAAAATCCCAGCAGTCATTAACAAATGAACAGTAAAGCAAACCAGACGACCGTTAAGAAACAAACTGGTGGCTTTTCTATCATGTAAACACAAACCAGCGACAGTGAGAGTGTTTTTAAAAAGCAGGCCCTAAAATTACTCACACAGGTGTCTGCTACATGTGAGTCAGTAATAAAAACAATCGTAATGAAGAGTGAGCTATAGCTTTTTTGAATGACTCATTTAAAGCATTTCATCAACTGTGTAGGCACACTACTACAATAGTTTATTATGTGCACCTCCGCCCATAGTGTTATTGGCCACAAAATGTGTGGGCATCATAATTTACGCTCCTCTCCATGCCAACCCTTGCCCTGCTCCGTACAGCAGATGAGGGAACCACAGAGAATCTGTGGACTGATTGTGAAATCCTAGATTACGATTGTGTCTGCCCATGGACCTTACCAGAGGGCGAGAGGGGGGAGTAGAAAGTAATACGTACCGAGGCTCAGTCTCAGACAAGCAGGGTTTTTTTTTTACTACAGGAAGTTAAGCAAGGAGTGGTCTTGTAGCATTTGAGTGACATCACAGAGCTCAGCTCAGCCCAGCCCCACGGCCCACGCTCTACCGCTATTTATAAAATACCACTTTGGCCCAGTTTATGGCAGGGGTGGATGCCGATCCTCAAGTCTACTATCTGTTCCAGTGTACACATACTTGAAGTGCCAAGGGATTATGTAACTGCCCTCTAGGCATAACTGCTCTCCAACACGATCCTACTGGCTGATGACAACGCAGCAGCAAACCAGCTTTCAGGTTGATCGCATTCTCACCAGCACATTTCACCTGACAGCACGGTGCAATTTCCTCATAACACACCACAAATGGCCTGCTGTTTGTGCTCTGAAGTGGGACAACACTGCCAGCAACTACTATGTTTCAGTACTCTGAGAGACTTAAGGGCCGCTGCTCTCCTGGCGCTGAAGGAGGAGGAAGAGCTAGAAACAAAGCCAATTGCTTGTTAACCCATTCCTATCCTTTCCATGCTGGATGCTGATGTCTCACTGTTGTATCCAGGACTCTCTGTGTCCAGAAGTTACAGTGACTCAGCTGTGCCAAAGGCTCCCACACAAGAATATGCAACAGTGGCCCTCGTTGAAGGTGACTATACATACTTTGTAATGATAGTTTGGTCTGAAACTGTCCATGCACTGGATATTTCCCTCGATGTCCTGGCCTTGGCTCGACAACTACCGGTCAGCCGGTAGTATGCTAGATCTGCATTTGCGGTGAATCTTGCCTGAATGAGGTCTTACGCTGGTTAAGGGGGCCAAGGGCACACCACTGTCCATGTGACAGGTCAGGGTGTGGTGAACTGGCTGGATGGAAATAGCATCTGGACCAGAGAGTGTGTTTATGAGCAGCTGCCAATCCACAGACAGACCAGTCTGACCCGTCGGCCAAGCCCAAGTCTGGTCTAGACACCCTCAGTCTAGCAGGCTGGCTGTCCCTCTTGACTATCACCATCACATAACTCACTACTGCAAAAAACACACAGCAAACCACTAAAAATATGGGAAAGGGAATTGTTTATGTGCAAATTACCACCTCCAATGTGTCACGCTCTCAGATGAAGACTTAAGAGTGTCAGACAAGGTTACATCACGTGCCAAGTTTTGTTAAAATATGCTTACTGTGTGTGTAAAATAACTACCACCTGTTGTATAAATGGTTTAGGAGCAGTGGACCATGGGAATTTGAGTGTGTGACGTACGTGCCAGCGAAACCCTCTTTTGTCTCGGCAGGAAGAGAGTTTGATCTGCTGCAACTTGCCTTTTGTTTTGTTGATCAAAACTCATACAACTCACGCAGCCTGGATACATCATACACCAGATAAGTTGGGAAAAAACATAGATACCCTCATAGCAAACATCCCGAGCACAAGAAGCTCAACTTCAATTCCAAAAATTCAACAACAGAATGAGATCAAATTCAATCACTGCCCCTCAAAAAATTCTATCTGCCCCACAGCCAAGACCAAATAGTCCCGTCGGCTCCAGGACTCACAACCTGCTCCAGGGGCAGAGTCTTCCTCTGATTGAAGGGGTGAATGTGGCTTGTCCAGGCAGTGCTCAACTCAGGGCAGAGGTCTCAAAACAGGCTTGACTTCTGTCTAACCCAAAAGAGCAACGGAGCAGAAAGGGCTAGGTTAGGAGGCCGAGATAACACAAATGCCTCAATGCCCACGCATTCCCCTCCCCTCACATAAATACAGTGATGTCACTCAGTGACCCCGCTGAGTGGATGAAATCCACATCTGGGCTTGAGAGAGAAAGAAAGAGACACAGGGGTGCAGGGGGGGGGAGTGGGGGGCTGCCTCTTTTTCATTTGTTTACTGTACATTTTACCACACCGAGTATTAAGACATATAAAACACAAGCACATACCTAACACACACACACACACATTCAAGGTCTTCCATTAACATTAACGTTCTCCTTTTCAACTCTTCTCTAATTCTCTTTATGATGACACAAGATCACCAATGGACTAAGTAAACATTGAAAAATATTCATTAGTGATGTTCACTAATGGAATCTTAATGGAAGCTTTGAAGTATAGTAGCTTTTGTGTCTCAGTTTTATACAGTAGACACTTTGATAAACTAATAATTAATAGTGCTGTGTTTTTAAGGAGGGAAAAAGTTAATTAAGAGGTCAGTTTAGCTTAGCCTCAAAACTCGTTTATGAACTTAACTTCCTCTGCTCTATTTCAGAATCATGTAAATGGCAAACTTTATAGTCTAAAATGCCGTCTCTGGGTTTGTGTGTAGATGTTTGTATGAGAGAGTGCACTGTCCTGAGACAGTTCTTCTCTT